ATGTCCTTGAACAAGTTCCCTAACCTTTATGCTCCACAATTCCCTTATCTATAAAATGGGATAAAAATATTTTCTAAGTCATAGAGTTGTTATGAGGATTAAATGACACAATATATGTAGAGTGCTTAGCAGATTGCTTATACATGATAATGACTCGATCAAGCTTGGCAATTTTGACGATAAAAATAATGGTCTTCTGGCTCTTATAGTCTTCATGCCTGCTAATTCTTTCATATTTATATGCTTTCACATTTTCCTGAGCACCATGGAGAGCTGATTTAAATTCAGTCCCTGATTTGAAGAACCTCCCAGTCCTAGAGAGAAAATGGACAAACAGCCAATAAATTACAGGTTGACAGATGTGAGCAGTGTTAGAGGGCGAGAACAAGATCCTTGGGGAGTGGAATAGGAACATCTTACTCAGAGTCAGGAATAAAGCAAGGTCAATGGACAGTTCAAAGTTCTGAGTTACAACTAACAGAAAGTAACTCCAATTACCTTAGGTAGGATAATATAATTGGAAGGATATCAGGTAACTCATGGAATCAATGGAAAGGCCTGCGAGTCAGGTTTAAATATGGGCAGAAATTGTCAAGGAAGACCAGGATATGCACCCAGAAACACACCCAGCATCAAGCTATAAGATGAATCTGAATTATAAACTTCTGTCACTGCCATGGTCCACTGGTCCACAAGAAATACCATTGCCACTGGATATTAGTTGCTACTATCCTGCTAAAAAGTATCAAAATTATTATTTCTTTTTGTGTCACTAATTCTAGAATTAAGGTTTCTGACAATTATTTGGTAAAGCAGGAGTTGGATATTTTTTTCTCTGAAAGGCCAATTAGTAAATATTTTAGTGTTTGCAGGTCATATGATCTCTGCTATAACTACTCAACTCTGCTGTTGCAGGGTGAAAGAAACCATAGACTATACAAATGAATGGGGATGGCTTGTTCTAATAAAACTTTACTTATAAAGACAGGTGGTAGGCTAGATTTTGCTGGTGGGCCATAAATTGCCAACTCCTATAATAAGGCATGCTTCAGTCATATAACTAGGTTCTAACTGCCAGGGGTTAGGGAAAATAAATAGCTGGAATTTGGGATCCATTGCGGTGATAGTCAGGAATTTATCTCCCACCAAGCCCATACAATGGTAGATTTTTGAATCCTTAGAGAGACTAGAAGCTATAGATTCTTTTTTTTAAATTGAAGTATAGTTGATTTACAATGTTGTGTTAGTTTCTCGTGTACAGCAAAGTGATTCAGTTATGCATATATATACATATTCTTTTCCATTATGGTTTATTACAGGATATTGAATATAGTTCCTTGTGCCATACAGTAGGACCTTGTTGTTTATCTATTTTATATGTTGTAGTTTGTATCTGCTAATTCCAAACTCCTAATTTATCCTTCCCCCACCCCCTTTCCCCTTTAGTAACCATAAGTTTGTTTTCTGTATCTGTGAGTCTATTTTTGTTTTGTAAGTAAGTTCATTTGTGTCATATTTTAGATTCCACATATAAGTGATGTCATATGATATTTGTCTTCCTCTGGCTTATTTCACTTAGTATTATAATCTCTAGGTCCATCCATGTTGGTGCAAATGGCATTTTCATTATTTTTTATGGCTGTGTAGTATTCCATTGTATGTATATACCACATCATCTTTATCTGTTCATCTGTCGATGGACATTTAGGTTGCTTCCATATCTTGGCTATTGTAAATAGTGCTGCTGTGAACATTCGGGTGCATGTATCTTTTTGGATTAGAGTGTTCTCTGGATATATGCCCTGGGGGTGAGATTGCTGGAACATATGGTAATTCTATTTTTGGTTTTATAAGGAACCTCCATACTGTTTTCCATAGTGGCTGCACCAGTTTACATTCCCACAGTGTAGGAGGGTTCCCTTTGCTCCACACCCTCTCCAGGTTTTGTTATTTGTAGAATTTTTAATGATGGCCATTCTGACTGGTGTGAGGTGATATCTCACCGTAGTTTTGATTTGCATTTTTTCTCATGAATAGAAGCTGTACATTTTTAAATACCCTCATGTTGGGTTCTCAACAAAAATCTACTGATTTTTTTTTAAATAAGTCAACATGAGGTTAAAACAAAATACCTTTGAGCCAGTAAGAAGGTATTAGTATATTTTCACGTATGATCCAGTTATGATAGTGTATTAGTCAGCTATTACTGTAATATGGTGATACAAATCACCCCAAAAACTCGATGGCTTAAAACAAGCCTTCATTCTCATGCTCATGGATCTTTAGGTTGTCTGTGTTTTGGCTGACTTAGGCTGAGTGTGGCTGGGCAGCTGTTTCAAGTTATGGTTAACTGGGCTAGGCTCTAGGATGTGTGCTGGGTTAAGGTCTGTTGCATATATATTTATTCTGGGCTTAAGATGAAGGATCAGTGGCACAGTCTGCTCATGAAAGGTCACCAGAGCATGAACCAAGCCTAAACTCCTAAGAGTTTATGACCTGTGATCATATTAAGCCACTCACATTCCATTGGCCAAAGCAAGCCTGACATGAGTAGAATGGGGAAGTAGTCTCTTCCTACGGTGGAAGGGAAAGAAGAATGAATATTTGCTGAATAATCATCTAAACTATTATAGATAGTT